GAAGGTAGAACCAGATGAATCCATGGTATCCTTCGATGTTGTCTCACTCTTCACCTCCAACCCACAGTAACTAGCGATTGATGTTGTGGGACAACTTCTGACCGAACGCTAAGACGAGAGCGACAAACCTCTGAAGTCTGAACACTTGCTTGAACTTCTACGGCATTGCATCAAAACTTACTTCACATTTGGTGGACAGATGTATGAGCAAATTAAAGGCACTCCCACTCCCTGTCAGGCCTGATTGCTGAATTGGTACTCCAACGGATAGAACACTTGGTCTTCATCAAGTATCAACCGAAGTTTTGGGCTCGCTTTGTCGATGACACTTTCGTCCTTGTCAAAACATCTGACATCGAGCACCTCAAAGTGTTACTGAACTCGGTGGATCCAAATATCCAATTCACAATGGAGGTGGAAAGAAATGATCAGCTACCCTTCCTCGATTTCTTGGTGCGCCGGTGTTCAGCTGAACTACTGCAAACTACAGTACTCAGAAAGACCACCAGCGTTCGTACTCTTTTCCAAAGTGTTGAAACCCACTGCAACATAGCAGCCGCCTGAAGAGCTGAGCAACAATATCTGCAGGAACTCCTTCGAGCTAATGGATACCCAAATTCATTTACCAAACAAAGCAAGCGCCGAGTGAACAGACGATGGCCAGTGCAAAAGCAACCCGAAGTCTGGAGGACCATTCCTTACATAAAAGGAGCGAAGCCGTCTCATAACTGTTACAACGTGCTGGCGTAGGCATAGCCCATCGACCTCAGGCGGCAATACGCCGCCGGGTGATGTAACCTAAAGACAGACTACCTCCTACAGAAACCCCTGCAGTCGTCTACAAGATACTTTGCAACGATGGAGACTGCAATTACGTTGGAGAAACAGGCTGCAATTTGCAGATCCGCCTACACGAGCACAAACTAGTGGCTCAGAGACTGGACCCAAACTCACAACTTGCAGCACACATCGCAGAGATTGGCCATGACTTTGATCTTCAAGGAGTGACCATTGTAGGCCGAGGAACCTCGAAAGCCGAAAGGCTGACGCTCGAGGCATGTACTTGTTATAACGACGAGTTCTACGTCGCTAGTGTTGTGATTGTGGCATCTGACGTGTGTCACCGTCGAATTACGCCCTGTTGAAATCTCCAAGGAAAAACACAGTTGAAGGGCATAATTCTGGAATCCACCCGGAGGTGTTAAAAACCCGGAGTTGCTGTCTCGGGTGGCTGTTGCCGCTCGTTGATCTCCAGCGTGCTCTTTGTCCCGCCTCGGGGGCAAGCCCCGGCATTCGGAGCGAACTAGTGTGTCCCCGCTATCCGGTGTGTGATACAACTCTCC